GCTCCAGAGCAACTTTCTAGCTAGCGCTAGATAGTTGCCCGCTCTGCGAGACACAGACTCCTGCGCGTCTAGTAGCAGCGGGCCACGGGGCGAGTGGGTGATTGGATGGGCAGCAGGATTGAAAATGGTCGGCCATAGGGTACGCGACCATGTAACCGATTCTTCCTCTGTGGTTGGTGGGGAGAGGGGTATACGAATTGATTGGACTTCGATAGGTGATATCGGCGCTGGTACTGACGCTGCAGCATCCGGAGCAGATGAAGCGTCTGAGGACGCTGAGATGGGCGCATATGGTGCCAGGAGTGTTTCCAAGAGGGAAAGCTCAGGTAATGGAGGTGGGATGAGGATGTAGATAGTTTGCGAGCTCTTGGATGCCGCAACTACCTCCCCCTCTACTGCTGCTGCGGAATCCCTTTTCAGGTGCTCCGGTAGAAATTCCGGCTTCACGAAGCGGCGCAAATGCGTGAGAGATAATGATGGGTCCTTGGGGGACTTGGACTCCAATAACCTAAGTTTTAGCTGTTAGCCTGAAGACTCGTGTGGATGGGTGGTATCTTTGTTTTCCTGACCCCTCCCTTAACCACAACCCGGATCTATAGAAGGTCGGGGATGGCGGAGAGTAAATACAAACTTCAACACTTTGCTCGCCGACTTGATATTTATTTCCGCAACATAGGCTTCGACTGTTTGTTTTATATAATTGTGCAAATTTTCTCTCAGCAATTTGTTCTTTTGACTTTCTATTTCCTTGTCCCTTATCCGACATGTTTTTTCTTGCGGATTCCTCCTATGTCTCTTAGCCGGGGAAAATTAAGGAATAAAATTTCTCACCAGTATCCTTCCCCGAACGAGTCTCTTGCACTGTCTTTAATAACGAGACCTGGCCCCGTAGCGGCTGGATATCTTTAAACGGATTGAGTATCTCCATTTTTGTGAGGATTTGTTTTATATATTCTCAAGGCTAGACTTCTTTGGTGCGGACGTTTCCAGGCGCTTTTCTTGCTTGTTCGGTTTGGGTGAGTGTTATCGGTGGAAAATATTTATAATTGATAGGATGAACTTGTCAAGACATCCGCCGGGTACTCCATATTTCTAGCAAAGGGGGAGGATTCGCTAAATCCTAGATTGGCCCAGTCTTCTACCTTTTTTGCTTCCTGACCCCTATATAAATTTAGGATGAAGTCACTTTGCCCTAAAAATCATCATCACGTGATCTCCAATTAGGGGTCCATCGATTGGCGGCGATATATAAAAGGTTGTGATTATCTCAAGAGGTAATAGGTACTATGGCACTGCCCTGTATAGAGAGTCAAGATGGAGAATATAGAGTGGAAATAATTTATTGAGATCTTTCTTTGTTCTCTTTTTTAAATACACATGAAACAAAGTCACGCAACTCTATCGCGTTACTCCAACCAACTGACCAATCTCTCCCAACCGATGTCGTGGGAGGGAGAGTGAGGTAAATCAAAGGGGAAATATTAACCAAAACTCATAAAGAAAAATGCAAATCCAAACAGGAACGTAACGCCATACTGAAGAACAATGAAAGCCTATATACTGTTCCATATCCCCACCGTTTTGAAAATGCGCTTTCCGTGCAAGGCACACCTCCTCTAATAACAAGTCCAAGGTAAAACACAGAAAAAGCATGGACTGGGTGGATGAAGAACAAGAAAAATTATTCATCAACATAAAAAATTAATTGAAACGAAAAATAGGCATAGAAATAGGAAAAAATAAAAATAAAAATAAAAACAAAAAATAAAAAATAAAAAATAAAAAATAGTTAAACCGAGACACACATTGTATATATATACATATATAAATACTCGATATATGTGCGCTTCGTCACATCTACAACCAAACAATCGTAGAGAGAGAACAGCATTACGCTCGGGAGTCTAGATAAATCGACATTCGTTCAAGGAGATATGTTGGCCATAGTTTTTTGAATTCTTCGTCCCATCGGTGCAGGTGTTAGCGATTAACGATAAGGACCAAACAAGGGTTGAAACAACTGGATGGGAAATAGAAGTGTGGTGGTTTTAAGCGGGATAGGGTAAACTAGAAATAGCTGTACTTCAGATCCCTACTCTGTTTTGGGAGTCGCATTAATCGTCGTAGAGGCTTTTCCTCCATTTCGCGCAATCGATGTAGATGAGGTAGCAGTCTCTTTCGTCGATGTAGACAGGGTGTCAATATGGTCTTCCGGCTGTATCACATACTCGTCACATCGCTCGACGAGGCGCTGATAATAATCCACCAGGACCTCAGGCTGAGGCACGATACGCCACTCAACCCGCCAGAGAAATTCCAGTTCTAATAGCGCCAGTTCAGCGACGCTGATTCCACCAACTCTGGCATAGGTCTTGTTTGTCCAAAAGCTGTCGCTGAGACCCTTGCTAGCCACGGTAGCGCTGCTGATCAAAAATCGATGTACCGTGAGGCTCGAGACTGTAAATGCAGGGTAAAGAGCACATAGTCGGTCGATATAATACACCATACTTAAAAGGATAGGAGGGGAAAGGGTGGCATGTGTTGTTAGACGTTGGAGGTAGTCGTGAACCGAGATTCGGGGAGGACTGCGCGAATGGAACCGTGTGAGGCGACCATCGCGAAGGGGTATTTGGTCGTTAAAACGGATAAGTTCCATTAACATGCTGGAGATCAGGAAGACGAGATCACGGGGATTCGTTTCTTCATAACGGCGTGGAAGGACTTTCGCAGCGGGTTTTTCGGGCCGTAGTCGTTTACACAGAGATTCGGCTGGGCTGTCAGGGTCAATTGATAGTGGGTTGTCGCCATCCGTGGGCAAAAGACTGGAAGTATCAGGAGTGTTGCGTTTCGATCCTACGAGAGTCGATGACATTTGCGAATCGGCCTGTGACTGTCGGCTTTCCTGGCTTTGCTGCGAAGCAGCAAGTTCAGAGGTGGCATTGGTGGAATCTGGAATTATCGTCTCACTAGTAGTCGCGGAGGCAGACTGTATCAGCTTGTTTTTTGCTGGGGTAGCCGGGCGAGAATATTGAGTTCCCGCATCTACAGTCTGCCTTCGAAAAGCTGATCGTATTTCCTCGACGCCCGAACTGCTGTGAGAATCAGACGAGCGTCGCCCGGGCCGTGAGGCTCTGGGAGAATGAGGCGGGTTGGAATGGGCTATTAAAGGGGAAGCCGCGGTTGTTTGGTCATTACTATGATTATTATTATTATTATTATTATTATTATTCCTGCTGGCGGTGGCGGTTGGATTGTAGTAATGCGGGCGGCCGGGAAAGGCATTGACGGGAGAACGGGTGGAATCAGAGCGCAGAAGCGCTGCCGACGTGGGAGATGACGCTATCATGTCCTTTGCTCACAGATCTCGACCAGGACGGGAGCACGTGGGCGCACGCTGCGGGAAGTGTGGGCAGGAAAGGCGGGAGTAGTCTGGGGAATATTGGAGGCCCTGCCACTTTTAAATGGAGACAGCGCCAGGGACCCGGTCCTTGTCCTAGCCGGATCAACAGTCGCAGCAGCAGCAGCAGCGACAGCAGCGACGGCAGAAACCGTAGCAGGAAGAATGGGAGCGGAAAGCGAAGAGGGAGAAGCCAATAAGCCAGAGCTTTCCAACACAGCAGACGACCCGCAACGGCGCATCTTGCTCTATGGAGACGGGGTGACACAAACTGCCAGGCTCGGGATTGCAAAAGTCTCTTATCGAACCAGCCGCTCACTCGGGCATATTGCTGGCGGTTGAATGGGGGCGTGCGCACAATTCTTCAGACGTCTCCTCTGGCTTCGTGGGCGTGCGTGGGGGAGACTATCGCGAACGCACATCCAGGTTTATTGGAGAGGTTGTGATTGGGGCAAACCAATGGATGACATAAGAACTGACTAAGATGCTCAAGGCATTGTGCCCCCCCCAAGGTCCGCGCTCCCATTGGTTGGATGAGGAGAGAAAATCTTCCAAGGTTTCGGCCATGGTTTAGCCACGTGATTAAAATCCAACCCTGTCGGGCAATATCCGGGTGACTGAGCTCTTTTGCCCCAAGTGCCTACAATATCAAGCGCATCACATGATATTTAACTTGCTGACTAATATCTTATATAAGCGTCGCATCATGTCATCGCAGGACGGAACTATCAAGAAATGGAGAATGGAGACAACCGGACATCTATAGAAAGAGACACAATGCAACATCCGACGCCAACACTCCAACCCATTCATATGCACACCTAATTAGCTTCCTCGTTGTGTGACATTATTTCATTTTCAATCTTCAAGTTCACTTGCTTGAAAGTACTGTACATGCTTATATATGGCAAATACCTCGGCGCTTCGTATTAGTTAAGCATTCTCAATCCGCTCGGTTGAAGCTCCGGTTAGTTCAATTTACAATCCTCCACTGGCTCCCATCAATCATCCAGCACCAGGTGTTGTTTGTCTGGCCAAGTCATCTTGCAGAACAGTCCTCCTTGCTGACTTGATACGTAAGAAAGATCAAATATCTCCCAAATCTCCACCCTCGTCTCCAACACTCCAACTCTTGCCATAACCCGGCGTTTCCTCTGTCTCCTCCTCACTCCGAAGCCTGGAACTCAGCATCCATTTCCCAACGAATTTCATAGTCGCAGATCCATATTTCCAGAATGACGAGGGCGGCTGCTCCTCATATTATCTCTGATATCCAAAATCCTGAGTCGACTGCTTCACGGATTGCGGCTCTGCGGCTGTTGAAAAATGATATAATTGGGCATGATCAAAGAAAGGAAGCTTGGGTTGGACGGGGCATCGTTCCATTATTATCACAAATCCTAGCGGGCCGCAGGGGTACAGGAAAGAAGTCTATCGTTGGAGAGGTTAATGGACATGCTAAACAACAATACTTAGCCGGGCGAAGGAGCGGTAGGTCGGAGGAGGATGAGGCCTGCTTACAAGCTATTATAATCATTGGCAGCTTAGCTCAAGGTACGCAGTTTCTCGCCCCGCTTGCCGTTTTCTGTTTACGCTGTTCGTTTCGAAGAAGAATGTGTTTGCAGTGAAACCTCATGTCCCCTAAAGTGAGTTCTAGGAATCTAATGTCGGTGGAATAGGGGGCCCACCGTTCATATCTCCCATTGCTGCGGGTGACATTTTTCCCTTACTACTGTCAATATTGTCCTCACAAGCACAAGACTGCGACCCATCACTTTCCCTTGCGGTGCTTGAGACTCTGAATACAATCGCCGGTAAATTTCCGCTATATCAGCAACAAAGCTTGTCGCATGCGAAGCAACTATCTTCAATCCTTTACTCTCGGCACCATGTCGAAACTCTTCGTAGACTAATAATCAGCTCGACATCGACCTCCTCATCTTCTAGCCAGCTGTCTGTTGCCCTTGCTGCAAATTTAATCGCAGAGACATGTGTCGAAGAAAGCCACAAGGCTGTGCTGGCGGAGTCTGGCGTTCTGGATGCACTAGCTTTCAAACTCTCTACCTTTGTGGTCGCACAGGGATTTGTGCTTCCTGGCGCGGAAAATAATACTATGGATCCGGGCACTTTGAAGACCCTGCCTCCTGCTGCACCACCGAATGCGCAACTAGCTCCTATTCTCCGAGCCATTACCGTAATAGTCCAAAATTCAAAGTCTCGCGCAGAGCACTTTATCTCATCTCCAGCGGTGGTAACTGTGTTTCCCAAACAGATCCCCGAATTTTCACCTAATGATATCAAGAAGTCGCCATGGGGAGCAACGTATTTCTCGGGGTTCGCCGTTCCTCGCCATAGTGCCACGAACCCAATCGACGCAATTCTCCCCTCTGTCCCAGTCTCACAATCTAAGAACTCAAATTTTCCACCGCTCGGTTCCCATACCTCATTTGGGAGACAAGGCAATTTCTTTAGTCCGCCCCTTTCGTTTTCCGAGACGTCTGCGTCAGATGAGGAGGAAAGCGCCCTCATATCATGGTTGTTCACTGTTATCCTGGCGGAATCGGGTCTGACTCGTCTCGCGGCGGCGATGCTGGCAACAACTCTCTTCCGATTAGGATTAGCGAAGAAGCATCGAGTACCAATGTTCGGTTACCTGTTGATCCCACTCCTTATTCGCGTATTTGAGAAAGATTATGAAGCTTCTGAAGATGTCGGTGTTCATGAAAACGGGCTGATATCGACTACTCTACGAGCCAAGGAACAAGCTCCAGCTATTCTTGCGTCTCTGGTTATGGATAGTCGTGAACTCCAAAAGTATGCAGCCGAAGGCGAGGCGATACCGAAGCTTTCACAGATGCTAAAGGAGTCCTTTAACGCAATTGCGGAGACTGGGAAGCCTATGTGGAATGCAGATAAACAATCCGCCGCATCCGAACCCACTCAACCAGAACTGTGTCTTGGACCTCGCGGTTGTTCTCCCATGGTACACCACAAAATGAAAGTTCGCGAGGTAGTTCTCAGAGCCCTGGCTGCTTTATCCCTTTTTAAGGAAGATTACCGAAGAATGATCTGTGACAATGGCGTCGTGCCATACATTATCGATGCTATGAAGCCATATGAAGACGAGTCTATCGACGCCCTCGATGGCAACCCACCTTCAACGCTACTTGCAGCCTGTTCAGCTGCAAGATCCCTAACGCGATCCGTGAGCGCACTGAGAACGAACTTGATCGACGCTGGTGTGGCTACTCCAATGTTTACACTGATCAAATATCGGGATATTGCCGTACAGATTGCCGCAACGTCCGTGGTGTGTAATTTGGCAATGGACTTTAGCCCCATGAAAGATGTATGCCAAATTCCTTTATTTCCTTTAGCCTTGTTCTTTCATTCATTCTCTATATAAATTATGTAGAGGACTTATTTTCTCTTCTTTCTGCTCGCTTTGTCTGCTGCCTGGTCGTCTTAACGCTAACCACGATGCATGTTATAGGCCATTATCGGAGCGAACATGATACCCATACTTTGCGAACATTCACACTCATCCAATACTAACCTACGACTAGAATCTATTTGGGCGTTGAAGCATATTGCTTACAACTCCACAAACGACATTAAAATGAAGATAGTTGAAGAACTTGAACCTGGGTGGTTAAAGCAGGTCATTTGCCACGATCCTAGCGACCCCCCAATCCGGCGGAAAGTAGATGACGTGGGCGGTACGTTGTCTCTTGGAATGGGAACTCCAAACTCTGCTGGAGGACGAGTCGACATTCTCAATCCTATGGAGGGGGCTGAAGGCGAAACGGCACCATCCCATGATGGAGACCATAAAATGACAGACACCGTTATGCCACCCAAACCAACGGGCCTTGACGTTTCTCTCATTGACCATTCCAGGCGGCGGAAGCTGGCTGTTAGCGGCGACATTGACCAAACAAAACAAGCTCGACGGGATGATCTGCAGGTACAAGAACAGACGCTTGACTTACTCCGAAATCTGATCTGCGGTGTAGGAGCACCAGAGATGATAGATTATCTTTTCCAGGAAGTGGGCCAGAACGACCTCTTCAACATTCTTGCAGACAAGTTGCGCCCAAAACCGCTCTTCAACCATGGCGGCCGCAAAGATTCCGCGTCTTCTTCATCCAAGTCCATTCCCGTGCCAACAGAGATTCTCTGCTCAGTTACGTATATCATGATTCATATCGCTGCTGGTCTCTCTCGGCATCGGCAACTATTGATTCAGCACCCTACATTACTAAAACTCATGATGCCTCTGTTCAACAACCCGGACAAACAAGTGCGGGTGAACTGCGTGTGGGTAGTTATCAATTTGACAATTGCCGATGACCAGATGGATCACAACGGCTGTCGCGAGCGGGCAATAAAACTCAAGGGTCTGGGCGTGATGGACAAGCTCCTAAGTTTGGAGGACGATCCCGAATCAGATGTGAAAGAGCGGACCAAAACTGCTTTAACTTTAATGCGTGCTTTGCTTCAGTGACATCATCAGAAGCATTCACGAAATTATATAATGGAAGCGGGAGCGATTGTTGTTTTTGTGTGTTATTTTTAAACTGGTAACTCAATTGATCGGCTTTTTTTCGTGTCATTTTTGCATGTCGAAAAACTTCGTTCTATTTTTAAGTAGCTTTTTGGCCCACGCCTCCTTTCCCTCTTCCTTCCACCTATTTCGCTCCTCCCTTACACCTATTCCATGACATTATTCTTCTATTTTCTGAAAACCTATGTAGGGTGACTCCCATAGCCTGCGATGAAAAATTTCCTTTCCGTATCCAATTTTATAGCGAGACGACCTTTTTTTCACGGCAGGGAGCCCTTTTCTTCCTCCTTATCCATCACCTTAGATACTCTTCGCCAGAACGAATCCCTCCTTCTCTCCGCGTTAATCTTCAGGAAATCCCATTCATTGCTCTATCCGAACATCATTATTCTGCTCAACTTCTTTCTTTCTTTCTTTCTTTCTTTCTTTCTTTTTTTGGTTGTATACATGTATACACCTAGTTCCATAAATAGGGCAGAAAGTTCGGGGAGACAACAGAGAGAAAGAAATAATATCAAAAAATCGCGGATAAAGAAAAACAGAAAAAAAAAAAATCCGAAAAGTTGACGCAGCGCGTGAGCAAGGGAGACGAATGCCAGCGGCGCACTAAGTTCTTCCAACAAGGTATATTGTAATTCTTCATTGTTATGCTTTAAAAATATTAACAAGGGGCGAATCACGGATTGGCGTATAGCTCCTTACTGTCTTCCATTTCTCTTCTCCTAAAAAATTACTGTAACTATTAAACATGTCGGGTGAATGCCCGTTTCTAGGTGGCGTAACAGTTTCCAGAGCTCGTAGCTACATTTATCATTTTATTTCCCACCCTACCATTTATTACAGATCGAGCAATTAACTACTGTACCTAGGGTAAGTTGTTGAACTCCCGAGGTTGAATCCCGGCTGTGTTTCTTTCATCTGTTGTTCTGGTTACTTGGTTATACTCCAGAGAACTTTTTCATTCCCGTTCTGAAAATTGCGTCCAGTGGGATAGTAATAGGTAGTAAATTTGGATACGAACTCGTCCTTTCACTCCCGTCACTATATACACAAACAACCTCTCCCCGTGAGTGTTAGTTTATGCCTGGTCTCTCATATCTCACGGAAACCAGCATGTTGAATCAAATGCGAGAAGTAGTGAAACCGGCCGTCCTAGAGTCAAACAAACACGATAAAGGGGGAGAAAAAACTATTAACATAACTTTCCTAAACAAATTTTATTTCCAGAGAAAAAGCGACGAAGAAGCAAAAAAGAGGGGGAAAAAAATTCACCGGGCCCAGTCCTGCGTCGCCAAATTCTCATAATACACCTTCTCACTCATCGTATTCTTAAAACTATCCCTCTCCCTAAGCGCTTTCTCCCACTTCCACCACCGAGCCCAAACGCTCTCATCCTCCCCCGCCTTCCCCTCCGCAGGAATCCCAGTCCCACCCTCAATGAACTTCTCAATCAAAAAGAACCTAGCCACCCACGGCGCCAGCGCAATATCCGGCAACCCAATCTCCTTGCCAAGGAAATAGGGGCCCTCGGGATCCATCGCGCTGGTAAATTCCTTAATGGCTTTGAGGAACTCTGCGCGCGCTGCGTCCCGCTCCTCCTGGTTCTTCGCATACTGGATCTTGCGTTGGGAGGGCGTGATGCGGGCGCCGACGAAGTCGATCCAGATGCGGGCGCGGGCGCGCTCGAATGGGTCCTTGGGTAGGAGATGTGGGGTGTGGTCTGGGTAGGCCTCTTCGAGGTATTCGTTGATGATGTTGGATTCGTAGAGAGGTTTTGTGCCCTGGTTGTTGGGGAGGGGGGCGGCGATGGTTGGGACGAGGCCCTTTGGGTTCAAAGCGAGCAAGGAGGGGGATTTGTCGTATGGGTTTATTTCGATGTATTGGTATGGGATCTTCTTCTCTTCGAGGGCGAGCCAGGTGCGTTGGACTAGTTTTTTTAAGTTAGTTGTTTATTTTCTTGGATAGGGATTGCTATGATATTTTTTGGTGATTTCGAGAGGTCTTTTCCGTACCATATCTAGACATTTAGGTTAGCATATTGATTTAGACTAGAATGAAAACAATATGGGGAAACATACGGGCAAAACCAGCCAGCGTATAGCTTCAAGGGCTGCTCAGCCGCACGTTTGCCCGCAAGAATTTTGGCAGCACCGGTTGCAACCGGATGGCGAACGATTTGGGTCATGGCTGTGAGGTTGGATTGGAGTGTCTGAAGCAGGATCGTCGAAATTAACACACAAAGTAGACGAATTGAATATATGAGGGAGATTATCGAAGCCAGAAGGAAGGATATCGACGATATATATAAATGTTTACAGAGTTATATATATGGGTAGCATACATGCAATGAGGGGTCAAGGTGGGGAGTGCAGTGGTACGGTACTCCAGCAAATGGGCGCATTGTCTTCGTATAACTTAAAACAATCCCATTTTGAATTTGAAATCAATACCGACTAGCAGCAGCCAAATTATGATGCAATCCAAGCCGCCCTCGTATTGACGGGCTTTGGCGGGGACTCGGCAGTGCGACGCGATTGCCGAACCCTGGGCGGATTTGTCACCAGCGCCAGGCCCAGACTCCGGCAATCGCCCTCATTGCCGGATTATTGTTCATGGGATTATACTACAACCTGCTACGCCACTCGCACTACATCTCATCTCCTACTTGCATCCATAGCTAGCCTAGCATGCAGATGCCATGTGGATGATAAAAATTCGTTTTCGGATGGTAGGTGTATTTTACGTGAAGACAAGGCTAGATGAATTGGCTGCAAAAAAAAGCTGCTAAAACACTACAACTGCAATCTTCTACGCATGTTTTCTGTGTTCATCACTTGGCTGTTATTAGGTGACTGACAAAGAGCAACTCTAGGTCATTTAGATTGCCGGTATATTCCCTATGTTCGGTATTTGGTTTCCCGGATGCGCTCTCCGTTTTGGTGGTCCAGCGATTCGAATATATTAACTACTCTCTGGCGATGTGCTGGCTATCCATGTCAACGCTCTTGTGATCCTTCCGAAGCTTCCTCTCTATCATCCCTGCTGAGGATGAGGCACACTATGGCTCGAGGTAGGCGAGGAGGAAAATATCTTACCCAAGAAGACAACATCCAGCGTGGCATAACAGGCTCCGGCTAGAATGACGAATCCAAATACGCGTACTTAAAATGGCGCATCTTGAGGAGCTGGACATAATGAACCCCCGCAGATTTGATATCATTTGGACGAGAATCATAAGTGTAATACTGCGCAAAGTTGTCGTGTGGAAAAGTCACTGACAATCCAAAAGGTATGTTCAGAGTTATATTTGTGAGATCCCTGCGGTTCAGAAACAGAGGAAGATTATCTGAGTACATTTTGTAGGATTAGCAACACATTCATTTACCAGCGGTTTAACTCCCTCTCGGAGCCAGCCATTTGGATACAAAACAACCAGACACAGTGCAAAACTTTTATTTGCAGAACTCCGCTGAAAGAAAAGAAGGCCGACATATACCAATACAGTCACTCAAATGCATAAACTGAGCTGCGTAAATGATGGGCAAGCAACTTCCAAGGTGTGTGGCATTCCATTATTTTGGGAAAGTGATTATAGAGCCCGTAAGATACTCTCTTTGCATCAGCGAGCGCTGTTCTTTATCCTTCTCTAGCATCTAGCCCCTTCTTCTCCTATCCTCACCCAGCTGGTCTCAAGCAGTGGGACCAACCAGGAGTTGAGAGATGAAGGATCCTTAGCACGTCATAGAGATGAAATGTTTCCCTTTGTATCTTTGCGCTTAGTTTGTCATGGAGAATGTAGCGGATATCATCTTTGTTGCTAGATGAAGACGGCGTGTTAGTGACAAAGACGAAGAAGAAGAAGAAGAGGAGGAGGAGGAGGAGGAGGAAAAAGAAACGAGATGTAAGAAAGCGCTGGAACCTTCACAAACAACCTTATGCTGTATGTCAAGTGCAGCTGCGACGTTTCCCATTTGAAATAGTCCCATAGTCTCACTTGCTTTTAAGATCGCTTTCTTTCCTCCTGGTACCGAAAATCATTCTTCAGGCCTATTCATCATTCTCTCTTCATCTTTAGGTTAGCAAGGAACGCTGCTTCACCTTGAACTGGACATATTCAGTACGGAAACCCTCCAGTTCAATTCACATGCTTGCATTGCACGCCCTGGATACCTGCCCAAATCTATCTACTTCGTCTCCTACCAAACGCTCTCTACTCCCGCTCCCTAACCTCGCAGCTTAGGGTCTCGTCCCACTGCGCAAGATGTTCCAATGCGCTACGTGCGGGATCCGCCTGCAATTTCACCAAAATTATCTTCATCATATCCAGAAAGGCCAAATGTTGCAGTGTGTCAACTGCAATGAGACCTTCGATAGCCTGTGCGCTGTGAGAAGTCATCGACGACTCGTTCACCCTAGGTAAAAAGCACAAGTCTAGAAACTAAAACTAGCTTGGTCCCTGAGAGATAGGAGTATCACTGACATGATAAAATCTGTACATGGACAGGCAATTCGAAGAAAGTCGGAGCATGGTACAGGATGCCGACACTGCCGTAGGATTATGCCCTCGTCAAGAGAATTCCAACAGCACTGGCGATTCCGCGCACAACAACATGGGCAACGAGAATATCCCTCCACACTCCAGCGGAATTACCCCTATAACTGTCGAGACAACTAGCAACGAGGACAGCGAGAGCAAGACAGAGAGTGGCTACCAACCAGTGTACAGTCCTCGAGGTCGTAATTTTAGTATGCCAGTTCTGAAGCCCGATCAGCCGGAGATCAAAAATGGGGGAGATTTGATAGATCTCAGTGAGCAAGATAAGAAGCCTAGTGACTTAGACATAGCAGTCGAAGCTTTGATACAATCAATTAGGAAACGAACTCAACAAGGGGAACGACACTCTCTCTTGAATCCAACTAAAAACTCTATGCCGTCCACTTCGCCTTCTACAATCCCACACCAAGTCAAGAACAATAACGGGCACAGTGATGTGAAATGTTCAGGGAGGATGCAAACAGCGCAACCTGAGATGGGCGTGAATAAAGAAAAAGCTCCGACTAACAGTGACGAAGCGTCACAAGATTCAAGCATTTCAACGCGGTTCTATACTCCGCAATCCGAAAATTCAGATCGAATTAAGCGGGCTAAGCATAGCGAGACGAAGCAATTAGACGGCCTAGCAATTGCAGAGCCCAAATATCTTTGTCAGTACCACCAGGCGCCAGAGCCAACGCAGCAAGAAATTCCTGGGGTGAGAATCGTCTGTTTCGAATGTGAGGCTACTTTCAACACAATTATTGGTCTCCAGCACCATCAAATCATGTACGAGCACAATTATTGCAAATTATGCTTAAGCTTCTTCAACGACCGCTCGCTCTTCCAACTCCATATCCAGCTGATGCACAACTTCCAATGTATAGAATGCCAATTGACCTATAAGAGCTGGGAAGAGAGAGGAGAGCATCAACGCCTGACAGGTCACGGGTATTGTAAAGATTGTGGCGGCTATTTCTTGGACCGGGAGAGTTATGCTAAGCACCCCAGTCTTCACAAATCTACAAAGTTTGCATGCCCCATCTGCAAGGCAAGTTTCGCGACCGAGGAAAGCCGGAACATGCACCAGAGTGCAACCAAACATGCGTATTGTGACGAATGTGGACGCTGCTTCCGGGACCAAGCGAGCCGGGCCAAACACGTTAATGTCCACAAAGCCGTCAACTTTGCCTGCCCTACCTGTGGAGCTGGATTCGTAACGGAAGAGTGCCGGGACGCCCATCAGCGAGAGCATAGTCATGGTGTCTGCTCACGATGTGATAAAGTATTTGCAGACAGGGCGAGCGAGAAAAGCCATACCGGCGTGGCCCATAAGCACAAATGCCCGGAGGCTGGCTGCAAACTTTCTTTCCCGACATCTGGTCTCCTGGAAACACATAAGGCAAAATCACATCACATTTGCATACTATGCGATCGTAAGTTCATGGATAGATTGGCGCTTTTAACCCATGAGAGAACTTCCGGCAAACATGCCAAAAAGGGCGCAGCCATCGCGTGATATCAAAGTGTTGAGCTAGGACTTTAAGAAAGGAGAGGCGGTTAAACACATAACAGGATTATCCTGTCAGGAAATTTGTTTCATGAAATGATCATCTTTCCTTGTACTTCTTTTCTTCTTCGTGGAGTCTAGGATGTAGCACATGAGAATGCCGGATATGTAGAGTGGGCTAATGGAGCGGGTCTAGAGGCGGGAGCAATTGAGGTTACGGGGGAAATAAATTGGAACAATAGTTAACAATCAAGCCACCAATGCTAAAAATAACCAAAACAGCTCATCCCGGTGTTCTTAATGCTATTTATGAGCTGACATGAAGTCAAGAAGTCAAGACGTTAAAGACGAGGCTCAACGCTGGTTGAACTGCGGTCCGGAGAAACCATTGATCCAGGGCCGGCATCGTGAGCTTTTTGTTCTTCATCCAGCGCAAGAAACTACAGGAATGACAAGATATATGTCGGTGACGGTGTTTTCTATAACAATATAAAAAATGGCGCCTGCGAGGAGTGAGTCCTCGCGCCAGGATGCAAATAATAATGTTCATCCACATATTCCTTCCCCCCCAGGGCCGCATCCCTCTTATATCCAGGTTGCGAAGCCATTTATCTTCGAACGGACTGTCCACGCATGTATAGCAGCCACTGGCGTCGACCAGCTCAGAGAGGACAACATTCGACTCCAGGGCGTTACCTGGATCGATAATGTCCGGAAAGCTCTTCATCTGTTTGTAGACTTCCTCTATGCATTCCATGGTTTTATTTTATTACATGTATATTTTAATATCAATTCGATCATTGACTGATATATCCCATACAGACCAGTCCGCACTTTCAACACTGCGGCCATTTATTATCATAAATTCAGGCTTGTGCACCCTGACAACGAGTACAACTACCTCGTATGTCTGATCCCTCATCTATTTTTACTTCTGTTTTTATTTTATTTTTGGCTTCTCATGCTTACTGTTGACCTGACAAAAGGATGCGGCGGCAGCAGCACTCTTTACTGCGTGTAAGATTGAGGACACTCTCAAGAAATCGCGTGATATCCTATGTTCAGCATACAATCTCAAGCTCCCACCAGCGGAACACCTATCTGCAGATGATCCAGTAGGTGCCCTTCTTCAGTAGCATCTCCCACTTTCCTCTGCTCTACTGACATGAGATTACGCCGCAGTTGTTTGAATCCCATTCACGCGGGATAATAGGCCTGGAGCGGCTTATGCTAGAGTCATCGGGGTTTGACTTTCGGAACCGCCACCCTCAAAAGTCACTTGTGAAACTGATAAAGCATTTTAATTTTGACAAGACCTCGAAAACATCGCGAGTCGCCTATGGCATGAGCCTTGATCTTTACCGGACCTTTGCTCCTCTCAAACAGACTTCAGCAACCATGGCCTTTGCTTGTCTTGAACTGGCCGGCCGACTTCTCAACGATCGGCACGAACGCGTTGAGTCCGGGAGGGTATATAGACTTTGGTTGACTTCCCGCGAAGAAATAATGGGTGAGTTTTGACTGAACTCCTTTGTCCTCACCTACTCTAGCAAAAAGAATAATCTCATTACACCGTTTCAATTCCGGCGCTAATATCACTCGATGCAGAGACAATGCTCGACTTGCTCGAACTCTACACCCACAACCGCAGCTCAACCTCCATCGGTCCTGATTTCCCCCTCGATCTCTTCCTCAACATCCGCATACCGCTCAATCAAGAGGCGGATTCCAAAAAGCTTCCCCGCTTCACTTACTGGGAATCCAAAAAGTCAAGCGCCAATGGGGTCAAAGCATCGAACGGGATGAAGTACAATGGTGATGGCCCCAAAAACGGACGCCTGCCCAACCCCCTAACTCCAATGGCCGCCCATGAATCACGAAGCAAGGCAGGTGAACGGGGTCGGGAAGGTACTCTTCGATTCATGCTCTATCCTGAACAGGTGAAGGCGGAACGGGAAACTGTGGCGCAATACTTCAAGGTGGAGATGGAGGAATATGAAGTGGACGAATAGGCTGGGCCGTTATCTCGACACGTCACAAACTCTGTGCACTATGCTTGAGATGGCATGATTCGTTGGCATGCGTAGCAACTCGCAAGTGCATCCATCCAGCCTTTGAGTGGGGAAAGGTTGAGAGCCATGAGTCTCTCAAGCGGTGCCTGGATGTATTATCAAACCACAGGACGATGATATTTCTCGCGCGGGGACATCACGTCATGGCCATGAGGCCATAGGCCATAGGCCATCGTATTCAACACCATCTCCATCACAAAGGCGTTCACATAGAGGAACATCACCCTTGACCTTTTACCTCGAAACCGCCACCTCAGCTACATAACTCTTTGAGCTGGACGGTCAATGATACCAGCGCGCGCTCCACTTTCTACTGACACCCCCAATCCAAAAGCGAATGGACACTGGGCGAAGCGAAAGTGCAGCTTGAACATGTATCACAACACATTGGATAAAAAACGCATCCCGCACAGCTTGAACAGACATACACCTTCAGGAAATTCTAGCCAGCACCCCACGTGGGATTATTCTATTACATTCTTATACCCTATTGCTTATACCCCCAGAAATGCACATCTTGTACATGTATGTACATTACATCTAACCATCCATCCACGAACTAGTTGACATATCAGAAGGGGAGAGGGGGGGGGAGACCACCGGGAGAATGACGAAGTTGAACTTGGGGTACTATATACCATTCATATACCAACTCCCACGTTGAGGGAACGCAGTAGAGAAGATGTCTAAAAACACGCTATTATTAATTACACTGATGAAAATATTCCGTCGGTACACAGGCACAAAACCACTCTCCCCTCCAAGCTATTAAAGTATGTACGAAGTTGCCGAGAGCCATTTTGCAATATCGAAAAATTAATCTCTTTCTTGCCTTGCGCAAAGTACAAAGTACGTAGGGGAGATCGAAAACGATAGAAAAATTACAACTTAATATTAAATCAATCATTTTCTGCTGCATGCCACTTTGCACACACTCTCTCTGACAAAAATTACATTCATGCAAATAAACAGTTATTTTAAAAAGGGTTAGAAATATGGAGGGAAAAATAAAAGTAAAAGGAAGAAAAAAGGGAAATTCATTTCTTGCTGTGCAACTCTCAACCCCATTCTCACCCCACCCACAGGAGGAAAGATACAAGAAAGTAGAAAGTTACGTTATTTGAAAATAAAATATAAACCTAGAAGAGAAAAGGCGTAAAAGAGAGAAGGAAAAAAGAAAGGAAATGCAAGGTTTAGGTAAAAGACGGAATGGAATGACATTTAGGAATGGCTATCCATGAAAATTAAAAAAGTGAGTTTATAATGTCATAGAATTAGAAAAAGTAATAGAAGAAGAGAGAAATAAGAAATAGAAATGAAAAGAATAAAATAAACTAATGAAAAGGGCACAATTCTGTTGATAGGTGCAGGCCCTTGCCTGCGCATGCATCAAGTCCCACGCTACTCTTCGAACAATCTCACTTAACACTATCAATAAATCAAACAAATCAAGAGAAATCCAAGCCTAGAAGGAGTTGTCGTTGACCTAAACCTGACCGCACCCGACGAAGCCGACAGGAAAAAAGAAAGAGAAAAGAGAAAGAAAAGGAATAAATTTATGCGACCGCGGAAAGAAACAACACAATATAAATGCAAATGCATCGGAAAAAAGAGAAAGAGTCCAGAGTTGGGTTTTCGTCATCACCAGAATGCAACGGCAAATAAGAATAAAAAGTAAACAGTGTTTATAACCAGTAGAGTGAAAAATAAACAAAATAGGGAATCAGCAACCGAGGAGGATAAAGTCTGCAAGGCAAGGACTTAAGAGTGTGAGGATAAATAATATCGTTTGACAAGATGGGGACTTGCTGGGGTTAAGGCGGGTGGGAGAGTTTGATCATCATCCGGAAGAGTGAGTAAGTGTTTGCAGTAGCTATGTAAATTATATATACTGTATATGGCGAATTATTATCGTTTTAGGCGGAAATCTGAGCTGAGGCATTCGAGCATCTAAGCAAAAAAGTCAACAGAGTCAGTAGCTGCATTAACAAGAACGTCACATACCCATCAGGAGAAAAAATGGGGGTTTTGGTGCGGGAAAAATCTTTTGTTTCTCTTGCTCACATTTTCAGAAACCTCGCCCTGATTATATAGGTACTTGCTCAAGCCCCGAATGACCTCTAGTTGCTGATCAACCGTCAAACCGTTAATGGACGCCTCGATAACATTCCCCACGCTGGCCTTATACACCGCAATAAAGCTATGGTAGTACATGTATGCGAAAAAGCCCATGATGAACTGGCAGTCCATGCGATCGGTGATGCCGCCATGGCCCGGGATCGATTCGCCAAAGTCCTTGACTTTAAAAGTACGTTTCAGTCCCGAGGCGAAAAAGCCGCCAAATGGAGCAATTAGGGATGCGAAGGTTGCGAAGACGAAGATGTGGATTTGCATGGGGGCGAAGTAGACGGTCTTGGGGGGCGAATGTGTCCAGGGTGTCCAGGTCGGCAGCTGATATGGCTGCGGCGTGAAGACGGGGTTCGGCGTGCATTCTAAACCAGTCAGGGCGTTCGAGCCTAAATCGTTGACGGGGCAAATGAAGTATTTATGTTTCATGAGCACATTGGTCATGCCGTAGCCGAATAGGATGGTACAGATCCACGCGCCAACGAAGCCTTCAACGGTCTTCTTGGGGGAGAGTTTAATGAGCTGCGTGCGGCCGAAGGTGATGCCGCAGACGTACGCAAAGATATCATTTGTAATGACAAGGGACACAGGAAGGAAGAACCAGATCATGCCTTCGAAGATGTTGTTCATGATAAAATGAGCCTGGACCACAATAAGGTAGAGAGCCATGTGTGTCCAGGCAAACTGAGTAAACTGGAATCTATAATGCCCCTTCTGGAGCGATCCCACAAAGAAAACAAAACCTGAGGAGCCACATAGATTAGCAACGGATCCAGCGTGCTCCATCCCTGCCAGTGTAACCGAGGAATAAACCAACCCATAACGTAGAGCATGAAGCTGAGGAAGCGATGGTGCGTCGCCAGGGGCAGCAGCACTTTATCGACCAGGAGGATGTGCTTGAAATAATATATTACGCTTTCTCCGTACAGAAAATACATGGTCGTGGCGAGGAAGTACCAATTGAGCGCCTTGGTGAACTTGAGGTTCTTGGCCTTGCTGGGGACGTTGGCAATGGCAATGACCTCTTTGAACGAAATGATCTGGACAACGGTGATGATGGCGATGAGATAGATGTGGCCGGAGAACATGGCAATGAAGAAGCCCGCGATCATAACAAACGTCCATATCGTTCGGGTTATGAAGGTCTGTTTCTTCTTCTCATACTCAGAGACGGCGGGACTCTCGGGCTTCTGCGACAGCCAAAGAACACGAACGGTAACGAGGTCAGCTATCAAAATATCCAAGGGCAAATTCAACAGCAGGAAATTCAAACGAGACACACCTCTTCCGAAGGCCTGTCATTCCCCCTCGAAGCGCCATTCTTGCCGGGGCTGGAGGGTTCTGATATGTCACTGAGGTCGGAGCTCTGCCTGGCGTCGGTGGTAGCGGCCCGATGCTGGAAGCGGACATTTCTTCGCGGCCTGCCCATCATGGCGGAATAGAATGGATAGGCCTAGAGATATCAAACGAGGCGTCTCGAGATCCCAGACGACCTTTGTAGCTGGAGAGCGGACAGATGCAACAGGGAGCAACGGGGTTGGTGGTTGGTGGTGGTGGGAGCAGGAATTTGGAGAAATGAAGCGGGTTGGGAGAGAGAGCTGGAGGGAACAACAATTTCCGCCGAGGATGACGGAGGAGGAAATGAGTTATTTAATAGAAGAAGATAAACTAGTTTGTGTTGGTAGATTGCTCTTCTTCTATTATTTGTTATTATTATTATTATTATTATTGTTGTTGTTGTTGCAAGTCAATAATGTCAGAATAAATATATTTACTTTTTCTTCCCGCTGCTGCTGAAATATTGATGTTTATTTATTTAACTATTTAGTTATGCTTTGTAACTACGGATTATCTATTATTTATTTAACTATAGTTATTTATCTCTATAACCAACCAATGCGCTCAGCCTCGTCTCGTTGTCCGCACCACCCACAGCACATCAGCCAGCTTACATGTAAAATATCTCAAGAACTCGCGATTCCTGCAGAACATAATAACAATAACTACAGTCTCTCAACAGTCAATCCCCCCTCCAGCTGTATTTTAAGAAACCGCGTCGAACGAGGGTTTGGGGTAACAATCCAAGCCACGATCTCGCACATTTCCCCACCCACCCTCGAGTGCTTCTTCGCGCATTATACTTACTTGCCTGCGAACAAGCTGCATTGGATAATAAATACAATGCGTGCTACAACGATAGGGCGACAGTATTATTGATATATTCCTCACTGTACTGTCCTTTACCAACAACAGAGCACGACAACTGCTTGCGGGCAAGCTACCCCGCAGAAATCGCTGCCAGATGGCATGGACGACGACAAGTACGATGACAGTTTTTCCGACGATGGAATTGACGAATTGCCTCCCGGAACCCTTCTAGAGCTCGAGCGGAATGCCTTCCAGGCTAGCCAGCAGCAACGACCTGACTCCAGAAACGCCAGCAACAATGCCCCTCCAAAGCCCAGAAACCCCAGCTTTGCTTCCCTGGCGCGTGGATCTCTCTCCCGGACCGCCAGCCATACTTCCAGCCGTGGACCGGTCTTGCAGGACCCGTCGCGGCTCCTGCGCCCGCCATTGAGTTTTGGAGATGAGGATTTTCAGGATTTGGACGCTGGAGTCCTAGATGATGGTTGTGGCCCGGACCCGGTTGAATTACAAGATAGAGTGTTTCAACAAAATATTTCGCATGGCAGACTACATCCTGGGGGCCAAGAGGCTGGGTTATGTCCAGACAAAGGAGCAAGGGACATGACGAATGGAAATATTACCCGTCCTGCCGCCCAGCATGCGGCATCACTTGGGAACACCATCATTATGAGTGGAATGGAAGATATGACTACAGATGCGGCGCGGGAGGAACACGGCGCCGCAGCACCAGTTTCGGAAGTCTGGGCTGAAATCGAAGCGATGAAGGAGCAGATTGAACAGGTACGATCATTTTTCCACCACCTCTATAGAAGGTAACCAAAATTTCTGACTCCCAAAAAAAACAGTTAACTCGAGAGCGCGAGAGAATTGCGCAAGAATTGGCTGCTGCAAAATCTATGACCGAAGCTAAAGCTGGAGAAATTGCTATAATTCGTGCAAATCAAGCAAAAGTCGAAAAGGCACATAGTCGACAACTGAGCACATTACGAACGCAAATGGCAGATGAGCTTAAGAAGTACCAGGCAGAAATAGAGGCTGCAACGATGGAAAGCAAATTACTGACTACTGAAAATGCATTTTTGAAACAAGATCTGAAGGATGAAACTCAGAAGCTGAATGAACTGCGGAAGGCCAAAGCCAAATTGGAGGAGAACCCTCCACTAACACCAAAGAAGTCCAAGATTCTCCCCCTTAGGGATGGGTTTGATGATGACGAAATTATGTTATCCCCTACGAAGTCTGCTGGCAGAAGATCAAAACGAGGTACCCCTTCAGTGTCTGGCGGGCGAAAACGTAAAGCAATCGATGATTCTCCTATCAAAGCTCCTACCTTGGAATTGAGCCAGTCATTTGAGACCAACCTAGGTGACTTCAGCGAGTCGGCAGAGCCGATGGTTATTGATTCCGGGCCACGCAAGCCTAACATGGAAGATCGCAATGTGCGATTTATGCGGAGAATCCTCAACCACAAGACTTATCCAAGTAAAGGACGAGACTTGGAGATATTTACCAAACTCGCCTTTCCGTCTGAACCAGGGCGAATGTTTTCGTCCTTTATTCTTGAAGCAACAACTGCAAAATCCTCGGAAAATTACGCAGTTGAATACGCAAAGGCCATAATATCGCTCTGGTCCCGGGCACTGAAGGAGTCTTTCTACGACCCTGTGGCGATGTTCATGGCCATCATCAAATATATCATCAACCTAGACCCCTCAAATATTGTACCACAACTAATCGACGACCTCCTTCCCGTGCTGCTTAAATCTGGATACGTCAACGGCGTTGCAAGATTCCGCAACTCTCCAGTTTCCCACCAAAATCTTGGCCAGATCAAGCAGACACCCCAGTCCGAGCTACATCACCAGGTGAACTCCACCGAAGCCCTGAACATCCTTTATCTAGCCGCCAGTAGCTGCCAACACGATTTCGACGCCCAACGCAAGTTCTGGCAAAACATCCTCTACGACTTCATCCTCGTAATGCTAAATTCCAACCAACCTATCGACGACATAATCATAACCCTAAACCTCCTCTCATATAGCATCCTCCCAACCTCCTTCGGACCCCTCCTATCCACCCCAGCCGAACAAACCGCCAACGAAAACTACATAATAGACCGCGTCGCCAACCTCCTTAGCGAACAACCCTACGTCGACGAGGGTGAAAAGCCCTACACACCCTGGCAAATCTCCACCCTCCGCATCGAAGCCATGTCCTTCCTAACGACCCTCGCTTTCTCCTCCCCACACCCCTCCCCTTCCAAAAACCACGCCGGCCGCCTCCTCGCTCTCCACCCCACAGCACTAGCGCGCGTCTTCCGCTCCATCCACGACGAGCTGGACGCGCTCTACTCAAACCCGCCCGAACGCGAGTTACACGTTGCCCTCGTCAACGGCCTGACGCGGCTGGCATACGGCATCATGAGCACATTCCGCGACGAAGTGAACCTTCCTGCGAAACTGCGTGTTGTGCCCGGCGCAACGCAGAAGCATCTTGTTGCGCTGACGCGGTTGGCGTTTTGTGAGGGGCCATTGCTGGAGGCGGGGATTGAGGATGATACGGTTGAGATGGCGCATGAGATGTTGGAGGAGGCGGTGAATCCGCAGGAGGCGGAGGCGTTGCTGGAGGCGTTTCGGGTGAAGAGTTTGGAGTGATTTGGGGGGTGTCTAATGGCCCATGCTTATGGTTATGTTTTATGCAACGGGTATGGTATTCTATGAGTTTAAAGATGATGAAGGTGGTGTTTTATGTCGTTTATTGTCGGCGGATTTAGCGTTTACTTTGCCTTGTGTGTGTTTTATCCCCTATCTAACTATGGCGCTTGGAACTGCTTTATTTTGTGTAATGGTCATGTTGGCTCTATATAATGAGAGGGTAACTAGGGCAAATATTATGTTAATGAACGGCTTAATAGGAGTGAGGCGTTTTATACATGTGCAGTTGAAAACTACGTGGTTGAAAGGCGCCAGTCAGATATGTTATTTTATGGGTATGGGGAATTTAGCTGTAGGCGTGAAATACATCAACTGATATATTCAAAACGTTGCTATGCTCATGATGAGCAGACAGAATAAGCCCCTGGTTTGCTTAAGATCTAGAAAATCATGTGACCGGGTCTTCCCCCTGACGTCACTCCTTGCTCATAGCCCCTGGAGACATTGATGCGAGCAGGAAAATATTCTGCAGAGCATGAAGAAAGCTACATTATATTATATTAATCAAAGTATTATTAATCCCCCAGATTGATCAGCCTAATTTTGGTAAAAGTGAAAAAGGTTTCTGTTCTAATTCTAATTCTTTCCTCCCCCAAGCTCCTCTAACTAAATAGCTAGCTCAGAGATTACGAAAGTAAGTGATGCCACGAGCAAAACGGGCGAAGAAATCCACTTCCTCCCCCAAACCGCGTCTGCAATCTCAGCCCAAAGCAGTGCAGGGGAAGAAAGAAGAAAAGAACCAAGAGACAGAAGAAACGAAATCCCAACAGCACAAAAATATCACACCCCCAACTTCCCCTCCTAGAGACACATCAGAGCCGTTCGAACCCCCATCTCTCCTCGACGAAGAGGAAGTCCCTGGCCAATCTGATATTGACGCCAGCACAAAGCCAACAACAGCAGGAGCAGCAGTACCACCAAGCCGCCGCGGTGGAGGCACAGGCGGCTATAACGCTTTAAAATCCTTCAGGGGCCAGGTATACACCGGCATGGCCGTCGGGGGCTCTCACACCTGGGAATACCAGCCGGGCATCTGGCACGAGACCAAGGAGGAGCCCGATCTGTGGAAGATAGACTACCGGGCAACGAAGCGGCGGTCGGGCCGCCGGCCGGCTCCCCAGGGCAGCGGCGCAGCCGTGGGTACGGAGTATCACTGGTTCATCGTTGCGCACCAGTACGTCAAGAAGACGGATGCGAATACGTATGAGACGCACATGACTGGGTCGAAGTATAAGCTTGCGCATCGGGGTGCGGAGGCGAAGAGTTGGTCCGTCCCTAGTGTGAAGGACCAGCGGGAGAGGGAGGTTGAGTTGCTGGAGGATGCGGGGAGGAGGGTTAGGGGGTTACCGCCTGTGCTTGCGGGGGAGAAGGTGAGGGTTGAGAAGAGGGAGAATGGGCAGCAGAGGCTTGATGTTTTGTTTGGGGCTGGGAAGGGCGGGGCTGGGGAAAAGAGAGCTGGATTGGAGCAGGGACAGGCATCGGAGGGGTTGAAGAGGAAAAGAGAGGATGATGATGATGCTGACGGAGCGGATGAGGTTGTGGTGAGCGAGGTAAGTGAAGAGGGTTGAGAGGGGAGGATGTATGAACAAAACCTTCAACTGTGAGATTTCAACAAGTAGTTTTCATGTTGTGCAATGTATATTGTGTATATTAGTGGGGTTGACGCCAGTAATTCATTTCTGGCCGCGGTTTGGGTATAGTGTCGTCGGGCTATCTAACTAGAAAGCATTCATTCGTTGGCACTACTCGTAGAAGAAATATTTGCATGTAGAGAGAAGAAAGAAAGCAACAAAAAAGGCTAGCAACGTTGATTTCCCAGCGCTATCCTACAGTCGAGGCATTCCAAAGCGGAGAACTCATCATAGTAGATTCGTGGGTGTTCATCCTGTCCAATCGCCATACGTTTGAAACATTTCACGACAAGCGTGTTATTGAAACGAGATCTCCCCGCGTCCAGAAATTCTAACCAAGGTATTCAATTATCCATTTATACCAATATATAAATATACACATATCCAAAAACATTTACAATCAAAAAATCTAAATATGTACACCCACCCCTCTCGTCTCAAACTCATCAAATCACCTAGGTAGGTATATCTCATCCTCCTAGGGTTATGTATGTTATGTATGTGACCCTCTATTTCTTCTCCATGCAATTGGCATAGTAAGTAACCGTAGCGGGCCAATCCGAGAAAATGCCCTTTACGCCAACCTGCCTCGCCAACGCATCGATCACATCATAAACATCCCCATCCCCATCCACGGCGCCGGCCACTGACTGGTAATAATACTCCTTATTGGCCGCAACATCCCTCAGCGGACCCGATCTCTCCAACGACCAGGTAACTATATCAAGACCGGCCTTCTTCGCCGCCTTGGCATATTCCGATGCCACAATGCGGGGTTTCTTGCTGTTGCCCTTGTCATCCTCCAGCTCCAAAAGAGCAAAGATAGGCGGTGCCATAATCTTAACACCGCGTTTCGCCAGATCCTTCATGCCCTTTACAGCCGCCTCGTATCCGCTGGGGGTATCGACGCGCTGGTCCAGATAGACGGCCTGGCGCGCGAAGGCGGGCTCATTGTCGATCCAGTAGAAGATGTCATCAGGTAGGAAGGACTGGAGGAAGACGCGGGACGGCTTGATGTGGGCGGCACGGAACTCGTCGACGAGTTGCTGGGCGTACATCTCCTGGGTGTAGTTCTTGCCATCTGGGCCTTGGAAGGGCATGGGGACCTGGGGCGTCTTGAGTTCTGAGGTGAACTTGAGGCCGAGGGAGTCGACCAGGGAGATGAATTCGGCATGAGAGCTTAGCTGGGGACAGCCGTCGGTGTATACATTTGTGCGCCAGTCCTTAATACCGCCTTGGTATTGCTCAGGAGTGGTGGCGGTGTTGTCTGAAGAGTCCATCTTGCCACAGAGAGACTTGAACTCTGCGAGGGTGATGTCGCTGGTGCAGCATTTGGCGGATGCTTCCTCTCTGCCGTCTGCGGAGGCCGGAGTGAAGGGCTTTGTGCACTTGGCGGCGAGTTCAGGAATGGTGAGGATGTTTGTGGTAGTGTGTAGGTCGCACTGGGAGTGGCGGCAGACGAGTTGGAGGTCCTTGGTGAAGGCCACATCGCACTCGATGACGCCGGCACCCTCGCGCGCAGCGGCCAGCCAGGACTCCTTGGTGTGTTCCGGGAACTGAAGTGGGGCGCCGCGATGGCTGATGGAGAAGTCTGAAGGGGTGTTTCGGCGCTCCTTGCAGTTGTCAAGCTTCTTCTTCAGATCGCCCTCGTCCATCTGGTCGACGAGGTAGAAGGGGCGGGGACCAAGCTGGATGTTGGAATAGGGCCGGCCTGATTTACCAGCGTGAGGAGGAGGCTCTGGATTACCAGCGTGGGGAGGAGGCGCGGCGGCAACCAGGCCAAAGGCCAGTGCGCCCACCAAAAGAGTGACGGAGGTGAGAAGCATAGTGAACGACACTTCAGACCACAGCTAGGAAGAATGACCGGATGGAGCAGGGAATTATTATTTTAAGGTCCTTTTCACCGTGTAGACTCCATTTTCGTAACAATTGGGCGGGCATCATGCGTGATTTAATACATTTCCCTCAATGCGCGTAGCGACGCCTGGCCAAGGGCATCAGATCAGGGCAGATGCAGCCAAACACTGCGACGGATTGTAGCACAGGGGTATGCGTGGTGGAGAACGGAGCAGCGCATGTCGTCCCCTCCGAGCTTTGTCTGGGGCATCGCGTGGGAGAAGGGGAGTTTGTTAGTGATCGACATGTTGTTCTGCGCGGTGGTTCTCTTTGCACTATGCCATGGGCCAGGCACTAACAGGCAGGTTCTATAGCACTCCGCACAGCGTGTACAGACCTCCGGCGCCGAGCGTTGGTGTTGCATCCCGATATTATGGATCTGCAGTCACCACATGCGGAGAGGAACCTCCATGATTGGAAGAACGCTCGCCAGAACCTACCCTCGCGGTAGTCTGGCCACCAAAACGCGGGAATAAATTGAACAAAGCAAGGAGTAGTTACGCTGGAAAGTCAATCACTAGCCATGTCGCATTGCAGTACGGAGTATACATATACGCAGCGTATATTATTGTTCTTCAACTAGCGAAACTGATCGTACTAAGTTGGACATGGACTGCAACGGTTAGGCCGAATTTGAGCCCTGGGAGTGTCAGTCAGTCGGGGCGGGGTGAAGCTATACAGGTCACGTGGAATATGCAAGCCAGGAAACAGGCTGATAAAACAATCAAAATCGGTAAAACCTACAAATGGGTGCTTCTGATATTATTCCCTTCACGCTGTTTCGCAGGATTACAATCCTTTGGAATATTCCAGTTACATATCGACTTATTTCTACGGAGTAGATACATATGTACAAAACTATTATCTCTTCTCCGTCACCACACACAAGGCGCAGCAAAACGATGAAAAGAAAGAATACCTGGGAGGATATTGAATCCCAGAAGGGAGCCAAAGAATATGCCTGTCAAAACCCCGAAGGATGTTGAGTGGCAGGGCTCGCCACGATGTGCAATGTAGGAGCCCCTCCACGGCAGACCGCCTTCTTGATCGCGGATGCCCAAACAAGGTAAGTATGAAGAAGAGAAGAGAAAAAAAATTCAAAGGGAGGACGGGGACAGATGGTATTTATAGGCGGCAAGACGGCGCTGGAACCGGCGCTAGTCTAAGCGAGATGGCGACATGGACGTTGATTGGTTGAGCCTGTTACATAAACATCTGGAGGCGGAGTAATGTTAATCCTTTCAGTCCGGAGCTTCTATTTCTCCTTTTTGGGCAGTGAGTGGCACGTGACTGGGAGTTCGGGGAGAATTTTGAGTGCGGGAAAGGGAAAAGGAAACGGAGACACCTCACCACCACGTTATCAACAGCAAAGCTATCAAGTGCAGGATACATACGAGAGAGAGAGAGAGAGAAAGGGAATTTCCATGGTCTACCCTCCCTACTGCACCAATTGCTGAGTGTTGCATCCGCGCAGCCATGAGGACCAATCCCTGGAAGCTCGTGAGGGCTGGAAGGAGGCCGGCGGTCAGTAGGAGTCTACATTATGCCCTTGTCTATTCTGATTATTCACTTCTAATCCCTCCTACAGAAAGTCCTTCAGTCGTGGAACAAAGTCAATCTCTACAACCTCAAACACGCCAGCATTCCCCATACCTCCAACAAAACCTTCTTCCAGCAGAAATGGATCGCCAAATCCCTAGCCCGCACCTACCACGGCGAGCAGGTTCGCGAATCGCAGTGGGAGAAAATGTTCTCCCGTCGTCTGCGCTCTGTCGTACCCATGGACGCCAATTACCTGGCCCGAAATGATGGTTCCTTCGAGTCCGCAGGTCGAGGCTCTGGTGTGGAAGGTGTTGGTCCGCGCAAGGCCCCGCTCACGCCTCATATGCAAATGACGTTTGCGCCGCTGGAGCGGAGGCTGGATGTCGCTATCTTCCGGGCCATGTTTGCTAGCAGCACGAGACAGGCGAGGCAGTTTGTTGTACATGGTTTCGTCACTGTCAATGGGACTAAGGTTAGACAACTCCACAAGTATGCTCAAAAAATGATATATTACAATGTAGTAGCAAGACGCTCATGAGAACCTAATATATATATATATATGTATGTATATATATAGATGAGACATCCAGGATACCTTTTGAATCCTGGCGACCTCTTCCAAGTCGACCCCGAGCGAGTAATGTTTGCGACTGGTGCACCCAAGGACCCTCAACAGCGCCGCAGAGGTCGTAAACGGCGCAGTCGGACACCGACAGAGGCTGCCTCGGAGGAAGCTACCAAAGCAGACGAAGAATCTGCAGAGGCCAGTGCAACTGAAGAAACGACTGCTGCATCCACTGGGGGAGCCGGGGAATCTACAGGAAACGCAGAAAACACAGGGCAATCCAGTGAAAATGCAGAATCAAAAGAGCTATCCCCCGAAGAGGCACGGAATGCTTTAACCCGTCTCCTCTCCCAGGCTAAGGAGATAATGAACAACAAGGACGTCTCCGCCCCTGCTCAGAGACTTAATCTCAACAATTTCCGCAAGGGGGTCCGACAAGCCCTCTCTAGCGCCTTCTCCAGCACCAACATCGTCGAAGACCTCGAAGCCCAATTCCTCCAACTAAAAGCCCTGGCCGAGAAATCCCCCTCCGACTCAAAATCCACAACCGAATCTTCCACTTCCACCTCCACCTCCTCCACCTCCACCTCCTCCGCCAAGCTCCCCGAATCCATTCTCCCCACGTCCACCTCTTCAGACACATCCTCAACAAAACCCACCTCCTCGCCCAGCACCCCTCAAGACCCTGTCCTCGCGGCTGCCCTCAAGCAAGCAATCGAAAACCCCACCGCCCCGCTCGATGAAACAACGCTTCCACAGATCTCGGAAGAAGACCTCGCCGTCCTCCGCCAGGCGCTGTACCAGATGCACGAGAACCCGCTTGACAGTCTGAAGCCATATGCCACCCCCTGGCGGCCGCGCGACTACATGAGCGCGTTCGCGTTCATCCCGCGGTATCTGGAGGTGAATCAGAATATCTGTGCGGCGGTGTATCTGCGGCATCCGGTTGCGAAGCCGGGGAGGTCAGAGGTGCCGTCGCCGTATCCGGATTCGATTAACGGGGCGGCGTTTGTGTGGTATTTGAGGAGGAGGTAGATCTAGTTGTGGCTTGGTTTTTGTTGGGTGTCATTCTGTTTGTTGTATTGGTATGGACTTTTTCTTGTAGTGGCGGTAGAGAAAAGGAGTAGGGGTTTTTTTCTTTTTCTTTTTCTTTTCTTTTCATTTATTTATTTACGTGCGTGTTTAATTGTGATATATATAACACAGTGTATAGTAGAATACTTTTTTATATCTTGGTGAGCTCTATTGTTTGTTTATCCTATTGTGACACATTTTGTGTCCACCCTGACGGGGTGGAGATAGCGTAGTGGTAGAAGCGCTATCCATGGAAGGCCCATGGTAAGTAGAAACTGGCTATGAGAAGATGAACCCTTCTGAGAGACACCAGGGTTGCAGATTCAAATTCTGTCTTCATCATCACAAGATATATATATATATATATATATTCAATAGACAGTTCTAGTATATAAGGATTTGTCTTTATATTCACTCTGATTTTGTCATTGGTTCTACAGCATAGAGTAGATAGAGCCTTCAGGACCGGGTTCTTACATCAGACAGCTGGCTTCCATCCTTTTTTTATATAAATTATTATTCCAAGTCTTGTTGTTCAATGGGATGTCCCGTATTGCTAAAACCAATAATACGCAAATTACCACACATTTCCTGCGGCACTAGTCACAGAACGCGGGTAATGCGCCATACATTGATACGGCGCTGGGGTTGCAAACAGCTTAATCGGGCCTAGCGGCATATCTTCCCCCGCGCAGTTTGATTTTTCAAACCTTCTAAAAGTCCGCTTGTTTTGATTGTTGCTTTTTTTTTTTTTATTATTTCTTTTTCGTGTTTATTTTTACATGTTTTAAATATATATTTTTTTGAAGCCCGATTCTTATGATTATTAGATCGTTCGAGTCATTTTATTGGTCTTTTGCGGTTCTTCTGTTTTAGCCCCCTGTTCTATCTAGCCACTATTGTTGAGAAGAAGAAATTTTTCGTTTGCTTGTTTTATTTTACAGCGTAAACTCCATTATTCTTCTACCTTAGTTTTCTCCTTATTTTTATTTTTATTTTTATTTTTATTTTATGTTTATTTGTTTTTGATAGTTGAATTTTTCAAAACAAAAAAGCAAGTGCAAAAAAAAAAAAAATTCAAAAAATCAAAAAATCAAAAAGGGAAAAGAGGGAAAAACTCGAAATTAGCCAGAACGGGAAAAGCCGACGACATCCTGAGGACGGGACGAAATCCCTCCCATATCAGAACAATCCATTCTCACCACCACGGGCAGCGACCAACCCTATCGTGCAGGGCGATCGCAGGTGAGAGAAGAAAGGAGCAGCTAAAGAAGAGGGGGAAAACAGGAGATCAATATCTGGCTTCTCGTCGGCCGGGTACATATGCTTTCAGACACCGCGGGGAGCACGACAATTACTATTTACTAAATACTTTTTTTTCTTTCTTTTTCTTTATGATTTTTCTTTATTTTGTTTTACTTTTTTAACATAAAATATCCCCATATGACAAAGCAAAGCAGGGAGCAAAATAAAATCAAAGGGAGTCAGACGCGCAATTTCCGGACAAATGTTTAACTGGCATACAAGCGTCGAACATCCGCCTCCTCAAGGGAATCCTGTATCTGCTCGACAACAGCATCAACTCCCGCACCAACAGCACCAACAGCACCAACAGCATCAACAGCATCAACAGCACCAACAGCATCAACAGCATCAACAGCATCAACAGCATCAACAGCACCAACATCAACCGCACCAACATCAACAACACCCGCACCAACAACACCCCCATCAGCATCAGCGTCAACA